GTGTTCTTACAATGCATTAGCATGATAACCACGGCCGCGTAAATCTCACTCTGCTAATGCGAATGCGAGAATGCATTTGTGTGATTCATGGAAGGCATCTCTTCACTCACTCAGGTCTGCAAATCATTAGTGTGCAGACGTCATATTTCTGCGGTGCAAATGACAGCTCTAATGCATCTGCTGCTGGAAGATGCCGTTCTGTGGAGAACACACGGATGAGGCTTATTACTGCTGTAAACGCCCACAGAAAGCTCAACCTTTACAGGCTGAGCATGGAGGAACTAATACTGGGAATCTGCACAGATGTGCGTGTTGATCTTTTAGACAAATCAGATTTATGGCTTTGTAAAGTCGTGTTTGTTGCTTTAGGGAAAATGAGAAAAGCCTCTGAGGAACGGCGGGTGTAAACATATCCTGAGACACGGGGCTGTGCACTATTAGATATCTTTCTTTTTATTTTTAGAACATTTCGTAAAAATGAATACGCTTTATCTAATAAAAAAAAAGTCAATTAATTCAATTTAACAAATTAGAATTGAGTAACAACTAATCAAAAGAATTTTTAATAAGTTAACCATTTAAAATTAGCAAAAATTAACTTAAACTTAGAGGGATACTCCACTTTTTTTTTTTGGAAATAGGCTCATTTTACAACTCCCCCAGTGTTAAACAGTTGGGCTTTACCGTTTTCTAATCCATTCAGCCGATACTCTGATATTTAGAAGAATATCAGTAACCAGTTTCTGGTCTCATTGACTTCCATAGTATATTTTTTTCTTACTTTGGAAGTCAATGGGACCAGAAACTGATATTCTTCTAAATATCAGAGTATCGGCTGAATGTATTACACTGTAAAAACCAATTAGTTCAGTTTACTTAATTTTATTATGCAAACTCGTTGCCTTAATTTCATTAAGTACGTACAACTTAATTGCATCAAGTTATCATTATTTAATCCATTTAAGTTTTGTCAACTTAATTCTATCTGTGATCCGAGGAAGTGTACTCCCAGAGTGCGTTGCGGCATTAATAAATAAATTGCTTTGTTTTACTATTTTTGGCTTTATTTTACCATTACAATTTTATTTGATATCGTTATTGGGATTATACTAACAAGAGACTGCTAATAAAATTGTAATGTCTAGTTAATTAAATGATTTGTTTTTTTTTTATGTTACCACTTTTGTGGTTTGCATGCTGAATGTTGAAATCTCAAGCAAAATTGCAAGACATTGTCACAAATATATAGGGATTATATCAACCCAATTAAAGATTTATGCCATAAGTGTTTGCAATATAATATAAAGACCATTATTATACATGATGTATATTTATGTTAAATATAATTAATAAATTAATTCAAAATATGTAATATATAGTACTTAACTTCCTTTGAAATCAAATAATTGTGATTTCATGTTGCATCACTGCAATCAATTGGAAGAGAATTACAATAATATATATTAAGTTCCAACCAAAGGGAACATCAATCACAATAATGGTGAGAAAAGGGAAATCGACAAGTCAACTAAAGAATTTTGATGTTCTCACAAAATATGGTGTATTGACAATAACATTCAAGATGACTGGAAAATGAGCGAATGCAAATAAGAAGAATGATGACTGCAGAAGTGGAAGAAATTAGTGAAAAGTCTAATAAGAATTGCCCCTGCTTCATTAACCATTTACCCCGCCTGTTTTTTTTGGGCAAAATGGTACTCAAACCAGTCAAGTAATGTTTACAAGGTTTTTCTGAGTAACGAAAGCATAGCATGCAAAAAGTACAGATTACTAAGAAATTTTAAGTAAGTTCAGCAAATTATTGGACATTAAGTAAAGTTAACAAAAAAATTCTTAGTAAGAACAATGTTAGATTTTACAGTGTAGAAAATGGTAAAACTCAACTGTTTAACTCTGGGAGAGTTGTAAAATGAGCTTATTTCCAAAAAAAAAAAAAAAAGTGGAGTATCCCTTTAAATTTATGTCACCATTATGGTGATCGGTGTTTGTTTTGTTTTAAAATGCCGGTTTTCTCCTTCAGTGATTATGCTTGTTAATATAAGATGTCTTCAATGTTGGCAACATAAAATAAAGAGTTCTTAATTAATCTTTGACGTCTGTCTGTTATTCAGATACTTTGGTGTAAACTTTACTCATTTTAAATGGTTAACTTTTAAGGAATAATTTGATTGATTACTCAATTCTAATTTGTTCAAAGTAATTAATAATGTTGATTGCACTCTTTTGCCACTGTTTTATTGATTAGATAAAGCGCAGTAATTTTTACAGTGTATTAAGGGACATTCACAGGTCACTGCACATTTGAATTAAGTTTTAATTATTTTTAAGGTCATGCATTGTGCTTATGTTAATATGTAAACACAACCTTATGACATGAAGGTTCAAAAGTTTGCCAAGATGTTTTAATGGTTTTGAAAGAGTCTCTTCTGCTCACCAAGGCTGCATTTATTTGAACATAAATACAGTAAAACTGAAACATTTATGCAACTTAAATAGCTTTTTATGTGAATATATTTCATTCCTGTGATCAACTCAATATTACTCCAGTCTTCAGTGTCACACTATCCTTCAGAAATCACTCTAATATGATGATAGAGAGATAGACAAATGATAATGGAAGTCAATGAGGACTCGGAGTGTTTGTTTATTCACATTCTTTAAAATATATTCAACTTGAGGATCCCTTTAATGTAACAAATGAATTTTGTCACGAGTTTAATCACCTTCATTGTATGTCCTTCTGCATCAAACACAACTTTACAATTAAAGCATTGGGTTAAAGGGTTAATTACAATTGTAAATCAATCATGCATTATGATGAAAATCTCATCAGAGTTTTGGAGCTCATTAGAGAAATAACATGATTTGTTTCGCTCCTTTTAAATCGTGACAATGGAAAGCAAAACAGCAATTTCCAACCGCTGTATTCATATTTGCATCAACATGTTTCAATGTAATTAAGGAACACTTTTCCACAGTTATAATTTGATGCTGATAAAATTACTTTCAATTTTTTTTAATGAAAAAAAAAAGGCATAAATCACTTTTTGTTTGTCTTTGTTCCTTCGATAACTGGAATATGAGCGTTTCATTAGAAGTTGGTTTGTTTTTCTCTGCTAAACTCTATCATCTAATTCAACACAGAATCTTTGTCACAAGGAATTTTCCATCTGTGCGTTCTCATCATCTGCAGCACAGAGGTTTTACTGAACGCTTCATATTTCAGCGGCTGATTTAAAACATTTTTCCTCTTGCTTGTGAGACTGGAATGAAATCAAGTTGCCAAACTCTTGCGGCTCGCTTTAAACGAACGACTTGTGTCATTAGATTCGTTTACACAGTCCTTATTTAAAAGGTAATTATAGACATCTGCAAAAATGTGTATCATCAGTATAATCAAACATTAGTGTAATTATTACTGTGCGGATATTTAAAATGATGATTGAAAAATGATAAACATAATGCTATTAATCTCTCTAGATAAACTTGCTCTCTCAGATTCATGGTGCGTCTGAAGCTATTAGCAGATCCATCCATCCATCCATCTGTCTGCCTGTCGGTCATTATATCCATACATGCAGACATAGAGACATACATACGTGTATACATACATGCATACAGACATACATACATGCATGCATTCATACGTGCATACATAAATACATGCATACATACATACATCCATACAAACGTGTGTGTATATATACAAACATGCAGACATACATACATGCATACATAAATATGTGCATACATACATGCATGCATACAAACATACATGAGTGTATATACATGCATGCAGACATACATACATGCATACATAAATACGTGCATACATACATGTAGACATACATACGTGGAGACAGACATACATACATAAATACATGCATATATATATATATATATATATATATATATACACACACACACACACACACATACATGCATGCATACATACATACATACGTGCATACATGCATACATACATGTAGACATACATACGTGGAGACATACATACATACATACATACATACATGCATATATATATATATATATACACGCATACATACATACGTGCATACATACATGCATACATAAATACATACATGCATACATACGTGCATACATACATAAATAGGTGCATACATACGTGGAGACATGCATACATACATGCATACATACATAAATACATGCATACATACATGCATACATACATAAATACATGCATACATACATGCATACATACATAAATACGTGCATATATATATATATATATATATATATATACACCCATACATACATACGTGCATACATACATGCGTACATACGTGCATACATACATGCAGACATACATACGTGCATAAATGCATACATACATAAATACGTGGAGCCATAGATACATGCATACATGCATACATACATACATGCATACATAAATAAATACATGCATACATAAATAGACTTATACATACATACATACATATGTGCATACATGCGTGCATACAAACATACATACATATGTGCATACATGCGTGCATGCATACATACATACATACATACGTGCATACATGCATACATACAAACAAATTCAACTGATATTCAGGAATCAGTGTGGATTCACACTTGGCAAGTAGATTAGGTCAACACTTTCTTCTCTACCAAGATAACGTACAATGACTTCTGTGCACTGACCCTGAAGGGAGAAAAGCGACTTTTGATTGATTTTACATCAGTTTTCACACTCTGATTTCTATGAATCTGATCATAGTTCAATCTGTCACAGTCTAACAGATTTGATTTCACTCACAACTTTGACTGAATGTGCATTTACAGTGTTTGTCTTTATTGAGTAATGTTTATCAAAGTATTACAGTCATAGAGGGTCTGTAAAGGTCTGGGATAAGGTGATGTCTGAAGCCTGCGGTGGGTGAAAACCCTTCAGCGTCTCTCACGGTTGTCATGGTTTGTTTCCACTCTCTCAGCAAACAATCCCGTCTTTGTTGTCCTGGTCTGGAGAGGATCCTTCAGTCCGCGCGTCGCCGCATTCACTGATTGCTCTCTTTTTCTGCTGTTACCTCACATATGATATTTAGAGGCTCATTTGAATGGTCCTGAATCTGATATCACACAACATAATAAGCCGAAGATGAGATGGCCAGTCTGAGGGACATGCAAATCATCTCGATAAATTGGATTTCGCCGTGTTAATATGAACACGCTGATTGTGAGTATATTGTCCAATCATGCTGCAGAATCACACAGGCTATTATCACAAATACATTCATCTAATGTCACACTTTGAGTCTGAACTTAAAATGTTATGATTCGTTTGATCCTTTGACGTTGATTTTTGACGTTAACGTTGGCTTTTCTCGTCAGTTCATGGCAGCCACAGAGCATTCTTGGGGAAATATGAGTCTGAAAACCGTCCCGAGATGCTGCCAGACGAGAGAGGTTTGGCTTTCCAGACAAGAGTGAGTGATTCCAAAATACACAATATTTCAGAAAACTAAAAGCTGAACATGAGAACGAATTAGTCTTTTCAGAGCTATGCTTTTTTGCCGTTCTTCTTGGACACATCTCTAAAACAAATATGTTTTTATTTTTTTTATGCAGTCTTAAATTAAATTAAAATTAAGTGCAATTTAATGTCAAGACTTTTATTTTCTGAAAAGGGTTTTGTGTGTGGTTACCATGATGTTACACTAGAAATACTTAAAAGTCCCCCTGTAGTCCCTTAAAACTCATCTTTGATCACTAAAATGACATATTTAAACTTTTTTTCTTGAAAAAAAATCTTCATGCCTTAAAATATCTTGAATGTAACTCGACCCCCTTGCCTCATTTAGTGTGCACGGTTCTATGAATATGCAAATGAGCCCCGCCCCCACTCACTCAGAGATCGATCACACGTTGATCTGATTGGTTACTTGTGTTACTTGATAGGTGGTTTGTGACGTCAGAAACACCAGCGATTTCAAAGCGTGTTTTTGCTGCAGTTTTAAAGAGGAAATACTCAGCAATGCTGTCCACTTATCAACTTACACATGGTGTGTCTTAAAGCGTAAACAACATTTAAAACTGGATTTTCACCACAGGGGGACTTCAAATACATGCATGGTTAAAAAAAACCTAATTTACGTAAAATTTGTGTTTATGCTACAAATTATTACGTTCCTATAGCTCAATGTTTATCTTATTTAAAGGTACACTATGTAGGTTTTTTTTGGGTTCAAAATTAACAAAGTTTGAGTCAATAGATCAATCGTTCTTTCAATCCATGTTTTGTATTATGGTAAAGCCTATTATAAATGTTCATATTTTAGAGCGTTCGGTATGGTTTTTGCAGGACATTGCATTCGCCCGTGCGTTTCTCGTTCTATCAGTAAATAGAGACAAGTTGCTTTACTAACAGACATGGCCTGCATTTGAAAATGGCATACTTCCCTGTTACTGTGCATTCACACCAGACGCGAATAGCGCGTCAAATTCGCGTCTTGTTTGACGCATGGCCACTTTGTGTTAATTCGCGCGTCAAAAGTGTCAAAACTGATGCGTGTAAAAACAAAAGTTTGTTGCGAAATTTACGCGCCGGAATCGAAACCCGTTGGCGGCCATCTTTTTTATGTTGATCGAACATTCATCGAGAGAGTCACCGCTCTGTATTTGCTCTGGAGAGCAGAACAGCGGCGTGGGGATCATTGTCGGGTACTTATTTTTGTTTTGATGATAAATAGAGCCAGCCTCCAAAAGTTATTAAGATTTTCTTGCTCACGTCCAGACATGAATTTATGCACGCATGTTGGTTGTCTTTATATTGTATTAATATTCAACACTATCTCACGACCAATTCGTACGAATTCGACGCATGATTAAAAAGTGTCTAATTCGTACTAATTCGTACGACCTCACTCGTACTAATTCGTACGATTTGTCTAAACCCACGTGATGGTTAGGTTTAGGGGCGGGGTAAGGGGTAGGTCATTCGTACGAATTCATATGAATGGGCCAATTCGTAAAATATGTACGATTTAGCAAAATCATATTAATTCGTACGAGTGAGGTCGTATGAATTGTTACGAATAAGCCACTTTTTAATCATTCGTCGAATTCGTACGACTTGGTCGTGAGATCGGGTTGTAATATTTCATATAATCTAGATATGGAATAAATAACATTCAATACAAAATGAACATGTCTCGTATATATTGAAATAAAGTTTTAAGTGATAAAATATTTGATTTGACGCCAAAGTTCAGATTTTTCAACTCGGGCGGCAGGCATGAATTTGCGTCAATCGCGTGAATGCACAAACAACACTAACTAAATCATTCGCGCGTATCGCACTTAACGTGCCAGACGCTCAATTCGCGCCTTTCGTGCAAACTTTACACGCGAATGAGGCGTATTCGCGTCTACCGCGCCGCAGGATTTTTTAAACTACTTTGATGATGTCTTTATTTCCTTTCTGGACAAGGACAGTATACCGTACACATACGTCCAATGGAGGGACAGAAAGCTCTCGGACTAAATCTAAAATATCTTAAATTGTGTCCTGAAGATGAACGAGGTCTGACGGGCCTGAGAGTCATTTTCATTTTTGGGTGAACTAACCCTTTAAAATAAAGTTTTGCACAACCCTATAGTGTTTTGCAGGTCAAGTTTATCATCAATACATGTGAAATGTGTGATATGAAGTTCTAGATCTTCTGCTGTCTGGTTTCCACATCTGAGTGTCACAGCAGAGTGTGTTTCTCTCGCTGTGCCAGGAGAACAGAGCGGGCTGTGCCGCTTTCTGCCAGCGTCCTCCTCACCATCTCGCCGAGAGCCACAGAAATCTGCATAGCGCTTCATCTCACACATGCTTCATTATCTACCTCGGCTTCAGACCTGACACACACACTCAGGAAAACAACCTGCAACTCATTACAAACCAAGCTTTAATATTGTTTACCAGCTGTTTTCTACCAGCTACTTTGAAAGGACAGTAACAAACTGCTTATAATTAGTATTTAAAACTTGTTAGCTGTGGGATGTTACGAACAAAAAGCACTTCAGTGTTTTGAAGCTACTTAAAAAGACAATAACTTTTAAACTTTTCATTATTTATTTAAGTATAAACATACTATCTGAAGGAAGGCTTTTGAATGAAAAATCGTGACCGCATTAAACGTGAACGGTTACACTATAAAATAAAGTTCATTAGCATTAGTTAATGTATTATCGTGAATAACAATAAGCAATATTTATTCATCTTTGTCAATGTTAGTTCATTAAAATAAAAACGTTGTTCATGTTAGTTCACAGTGCATTAACTAATGTTAAACATTTGATTTAAATAACGTATTAGTAAATGTCAAAATTAATATTAACTACACTCTAAAAAATGCTAGGCTGTTTGAACCCAAATTTGGGTCAAATATGGACAAACCCAAATGTTGGGTTAAAAATGCAATTAAAAAATGTACAGTTGAAAGTGAAAGTTGAAGATGGGTTACATTTTGAGATTTAATTTTTAACCCAACATTTGGGTTTGTCCATATTTGACCCAAATTTGGGTTCAAACAACCCAGCATTGTTTAGAGTGTAAGATTAATAAATGTTGAGCTATTGTTCATTATTAGTTCATTTTAAGGAAGTTAAATAATGAACCTTATTGTAAAGTGTTACCAATTAAACAAACTTAAAACAAACTAAAAACCTAAAACAACACTCTAATAAATGCTGGGTTATTTCAACCCAAATTTGGGTCAAATATGGACAAACCTGGACAAAAATTGGGTTAAAAATGTAATAAAAAAAAGTTGATAGTGAAAGTTGAAATGTTAAATTACTTTAACCCAACATTTGGGTTTGTCCATATTTGACCCAAATTTGGGTTAAAACAACCCAGCATCGTTTAGAGTGTAGACTACATGCATATTGCATCAGTGAAGCGATTCATTGACATGTACATTGCAAATGAACTGATTCACTGACAGCATTAAGTTAAACTAACTAATTTAAAAACTAAATCAACTAGAATACAGCCAAATTTGTCTTTGTCGAATGCATGGTAAAGCATATAAGCTTTTAATTAAACATTTGCTATAATGATTGAATGGAACTGAATCAGTGAATCTGTTCACTGACGTGAATCATCCAGGTGAACTGATTCAATTAATTGATTTTTTTTTTACATAAATAAATGTAAAGTTTCTATAGATGTCCTCCAAACAAGCGTCTCTTTTGTTTCCCCACCGCTGGAGACATTTCTATTCCAAAATATCACAACGTATCGTCGTTTCGATTCGCTATACTGAACTTTTAAAGGTTTTCCTGAAGAGCTCCTTCCACTCTCTCGTTCCTCGCGCTGGAGGTTTTGGCTTCCCTCCATCAATTTTAGCGCCAAACCCCTTCTGTAGATCACTTCAGTGCGGTGGAAATAATGAGTCCTAAAGGAAACCATACTGTCGACGGTTTCGGGCCAAAAGATAATTACGAAAGAATTAAGATTTTCCAAACGCTTATAATCCTCTCGTCTCGTCATTACAGCAGGGCTGAAAGTCACGGCATCAAAGCAAGCGATATTAATGCTGACTTCAAGGTCAGAACATCAATTCAGGCTGTTCTGACCCTCAAAGATCCCAGTGAAGGACAGACATGCGAACCGGATCATGTTCTTAATGAAAAGTCTCATAAGGAGAGTGTACTTTCTTTCTGAAGCCCGACGTAAGTTCGGTTCACTCTCAAAGCGGCTGTATTCATGTTTAAGCGTCATGTCAGCTTGTTTCAAGGCCCATTTGCATCATTTTCTGTTCCAGAAAACTGACAAAAAAAAATCACACACACTTCCATTCAAGTCTCTTCAGCTCACTTGTTTCCGCCACGGAATAAAACATTTTAAAAGATAATTGCGACTTTTTTTTTATCTTGTGAGATATAAACTCACAATTCTAAGGAAAAAAAATATGTTTTATAAAAAATAAGTTTATATCTCATAATTCTGACTTTATAACACACATTTGTGACTATTTTATACAATTCTGACTTCGTATCTCCCAATTGCGTGTTATAAAGTCAGAATTGGGAGAAAAACATGCAATTCAGAGAAACAAGTCAGTTTATATCTCACAATTCTGAATTTATATTACGCAATTCTTTCAATTCAATTTTTTCTTCTGTGGCATAAAACAAGCTTCCATAGAACACCAAGGCTACATTCATATGATCAAAAATACAATAAAAATTATTAAATATTATTACAATTTAAAATAACAATTTTCTATGTGAATATACAGTAAAGTGTAATTTATTCCTGTGTTTTTCAGCATCATTACTCCAGTCTTCAGTGTCACATGATCCTTCAGAAATCACTCTAATATGAGGATTTGATGATCAAGACACATTTATGATTATTATCAATGTTGAAAACATATTTTTGTAGAAATCACATTCTTTGTAGGATTCTTTAATGGACAAAAAGTTCAAATAAACAGCATTTATACATTTAACTAAAGT